GCACTGGGGAGGTGATGCAGGTCTGTAATCCCGGCACTGGGGAGGTGGATACAGAAGGGGCAGAAGTCGTCTACTTCATAGCAAGTTTGAGACCAGCCAGGGATAGACGGGATCCTGTCTCAAAAGAGAGATGGGTGGAGAGAGGAGTAAATGGAGAAAGAAGGGAGGATGAGGGGGAAGGAGGCAGGAGAAAGAAAGCATTGCTGGGCTGTGGTGCACGCCTTTAATCCCAGCATTCAGGAGGCAGAGGTAGGCGGATCTCTGTGAGTTCGAGGCCAGCCTGGTCTACAAGAGCTAGTTCCTGAAGAAGAGAGGAATCACAGAGAAAAAGGACTAGGGTATTCCCAAACGCCAATTTGTCCCTGGAAAAGGAAGGTTCTGGAATCACATAACCTTGCTAAGAGATTCTAGGAGACCCCAAGCAAGTGCACCCCTTTCCCTAGTAGGCCAGAGAGTCAGAGATCTCAGTTTGCAGAGGCCCAGACCAGAGAGTCAGAGGCCTTTCCTCCACAGTGTGACTGTGGGGACAGCTAGGCCACGGATGGCCTCCGGGAGGGAGCATGACTGGCTCGTGTCCAGAGTTGCTTCCTTGACAGTTGGGGCACAGAGCCTCAGAGCAGAAGCCGGAGCCACTGACCAGTTCCACCCAGATTAATGCCTCTAGCCAGACAACTGCTTCTTAAGATGAGACTCTGGGAACTTCTGCCATTCCTGGTTCCCTTCATCTTCTTGTGGGGCATCCAGGAACCTGAGCTGGCAGAGGGGTTCTTTATGAGTAAGTACTGGGGTACAGTTCTTAATATGGAGAGAAGTAGTTTGATGGGGTCAAAGAACAAAACACACTGCAGATGAGAGGGTTTTCCCAGTCCCAGACCCTGGTGGGAGTGAGATGTTTGGGGTCACTGTTTCCCCATCATCCTGGAGAGGTGCCCTGGCTGTGACAGCTGATTCCCCACCTTTATAAGGAATTCTTCATAGAGGTGCCAGGACCAGTGTACATTAAATGGACTTTGGAGATCAAATAGTCAAAGGGATCTCTATTTAAGGATGAGCCTCTCCCTAGCACCACCCCAGCAGCTTCCTCGCCTGCCCACTGCAGCTCCCCAAAGCTTTCCTGTATCCACAGGATCTTACCTGTGTGCTGAAGAACAGCCTCCAGGGTCCCTTCAGAAGGTGAAGCAGGGAGATTTCATCCTTATCAGCTAAAACACACTGAGCACTTGAAGGTTGTGGGTAAAGTGAGTGATCAGGAGGACGTGTGACAGGAGCAAATTCCAGGTCCACTCCTCAAGAACTGTGTGACCCTGCGCAAGTCCACAGAGCCTCCCATGCTCTGGATGCCTCTGCTCGCTCCTTGGGACACTTTAGCAATATTAATCACTGGAAGTCCTTTATCAGTAGTAATCACTGTTCTTTTAGTCCAGGCATCTTGACCAAGGCTTTTCAAACTTTGTTCCATTAGCCTTCAGGATGACAATCTAGGCAAACACTAAGCTACAGGGGCCAACGAAGGCCAAAGCCAAATGATCAGAATAGTCCCAAAGGAGCAAGTCCCTCTCTGGGGAATCTTGTAAGGGTGGAGAGAGAACTAGAGAAGGTTCTGGGGGATTAGTTGCTGAGTCACTGCAGGGGGCGATGGGGCCAGTGCTGTGAAAACCCTGAGTCCCTGAGGGTTGCCTCTCCTAGCGGCAGGTGAGGAGCCAACAGGCTTCCTCAGCTCTGCAATGACACTCTGGAACTAGGAAGGCGGAATAATATCTCCTTCAACTCCTCAAGGGACCACATTTTCTTCTTTTCCTATAGAAGCGTGCCCAAATTACAGAGCAACGTGTAACTATGAAGAAACAAAAGAGTGTTCAAGGCACAGACACTGTCCAAATAAGCAAAAGTGCTGCCTGTTTGGCTGTGGAAAAAAATGCATCGACCCCAACATAGGTAACTGTTCGGTTCGCTAAATTGCTTGTACCCTCCTATTTTGGTACTGCCATGCCTTCTGGGTCTCACTCCTGCCTTCCTATGCTGGTACTGCCATGCTTTCTGGGTCCCACTCCTGCCTTCCTATGCTGGTACTGCCATGTCTTCTGGGTAACCCCTCCTGCCTTCCAATGCTGGTACTGCCATGTCTGCTCCTGGACCACTGAGGGTTAGCGTTTGACCACAATTCTCACGGCGTCTGATTGGCGCAGATTTTGACAGTAATGGACAGAGAGAGACTGTCCTTGTCCATTTTTCTTCCATATCAGTATATGAAGGAAACAATATCACTTTTCTTTTTAAAGAGAGATTATTTTTATGTGAGTGAATGTTTTAGCTCAATGTATGTATGTATGCACATCAAATGCATACAGTGCCTCTGGAGGAAAGAAGAGGGCATCATAGCCCCTGGAACTGATGGTATAAATAGTTGTGAGCTGCCATGTGGGTAATGGGAACTGAACCCAGGTCTTCTGAAGGGGTAGTAAGTGATCTTAGTGAGCCATTTATCTAGACCTGGCCTTTTCATTTTGAACCTCAGTTAATCCTTTTATATGAGGCATATTGTTACTGAGTCATGTGACCCCTTAACTACACTCAGGTGCTGTTCTGAGATGCCAAGTAGCTACCAAAGTCTCATCAAACAGCAAAAACACGTCTGGCTGTTCATAAGTTGAGACAGGTGTCGGGTATTTGCCGGCTTGTTTGTCCAGCCCTCGGACTGACATAAAATCCAGGACGCCTCCCCTCATCGCCTTAGCCTCCTATACTCTTTTCTCTGCTCACGTCCTTGAGCTCCACGCAAGACCCTCAAAACTACTCACCCATTTTATCAATCAGCAAATATTTACGGGTGCTCGTGACACCCAGAATGGGCTCCTCAATGAGGCCACCAAAGCATTTCCTGGGGAAGCCATATAGGACTTGGAATCTGAAGGACAGGTAATGTGCAGGGAAACAAGGGAGGAGTAGCCTTCCAGACACCAGCAAGTGCTCACGGGAAAACCCTGTGCTAGGAGGCATGTGATCAGGCGTGGAAATACTGGGAGGTGGGTTCAGAGAGCACTCGGACATCCAGATGTGATCCTCCCTGTGATCCTAACCCCCGACTGTGGTCTACTCAGGTTCTGGTTGCTGAATCAGGCAATTAAGGCTGACCTCAACCTTGACATCTTCCTGCCTCAGTCTTTGGGTGTCTGGGGTTCTAAGCACACACCACCATATCTGGTGATTCATCTACACTTAACTCCCTCTCTGGTGTGTGCCATCAGGGACTGACTTCACCTCTCCAAGTCTCATACCCTCTACCTGCACAATGAGAACAGAACGAGGGCTGCACACCAGAGGAAATGTCAACATGTGTCAAAGGCCAAGGCCCATGGCCAACACTTTAATAGCTAAACTTGCGTGATTGTAATGGTATATTTCAGTGGTGAAATCAGTTGTTCATTAAATGCTTAAGTTTGGGATCTTTTCTTCCTTCCTTCCTTCCTTCCTTCCTTCCTTCCTTCCTTCCTTCCTT